TCTCTCTCTCTCTCTCTCTCTCTCTCTCTCTCTCTCTCTCTCTCTCCCTCCCACAATCACTCTTGTCTCACACTCAGCTCTGTTGTAACAAAACGATAACGCAGTTTTTTTGTTGGCCCCTCTGCTCAGGTGTTCTACACTACAGACCCGTCTTTTTGCGCAACGATGACAGACTCAAGGTAAGCACCGACCATACACTTGTATTCAAGACATCCTGGATTGGGCACTCTGACGCATTTCCGGTTGGTTAAAAAAAATTTGACCTAGCGCCTTATTTGATTCACTTTGAGCTAAATACTCATCATTTGATTCACTTTGAGCTGTCCATTATTTGATTCACTTTGAGCTAAAAACTAATTATTTGACTCACTTTGAGCTAAAAACTAATTATTTGACTCACTTTGAGCTAAAAACTAATTATTTGACTCACTTTGAGCTCTCTATCATTTGACTCACTTTGAGCTAAAAACTAATTATTTGACTCACTTTGAGCTAAAAGCTAATTATTTGACTCACTTTGAGCTAAAAACTAATTATTTGACTCACTTTGAGCTCTCCATCATTTGACTCACTTTGAGCTAAATGCTAATTATTTGACTCACTTTGTGAGCTAAATGCGCACAACCCCCTTTTGAATCACTTTCATCTGAATGAAGGGCAAAGGAAAATAAATGTGTCACTCGCACTCGACTTCAGCGAGACTGGTGTCAACTGTCAGACTGTCAGGCCCTTCCTTTGGGTATCCTGGTGTTACTCATTGTGTGCACGATTCGCCGTGAATGTTTTACCGAAGGCGAACAGGCAGCAGTCATGATAGGGCGCAGTTTAGAATAAAGGTTTGGGGGACACAATACACGCGCTAATGCACGCACGTGCGCGCGCACACATACACACACACACACACACACACACACACACACACACACACACACATACGCACATACACGCGCACGCACCCAAACACATGCATACACACACTGGCATATACACATACGCATACACATCCACTCGTATACACACACACACACACACACACACACACACACACACACACACACACACACACACACACACACACATACCTCGCACACAAACACAAACACAAATGCAAACACAGACATACACACATACACACGCTTACACACATACATACACATACGCAGGTACATACACACATACACACAAACACACACATACACACATTTCATACTCACCAGAGAGGGTTTACAGTAATCAAACACATACCCACAATCACACACACAGATGCACACACAATCACACACACAAATACACACAATCACACACACACAAATACACACATACACACACACACACTCATACATTGCACGACCTCACCTTGTGTCCTGTAATAATGCACCACGTACTTATCTGTCTCCACGATCGAGTCTCCTGCAACAGTGGTGCCTACATATTGGGTACGTTCCCACCAACGCCTTCTCTATAGACAGTACGCTACCCTAGAATATCAAAGTTCTATCTGCTTAGTTCATACTTAAGAGAAATTTGTCGTTTAAAAAATTCGAGTTTCACCTTATGTCAAGCTTTTTCAAATGCAATTCTATGAACATCTTGATAACGACTCCGAATAATTTTGTGGTTTTGATAGAGCAAATAAAACGTTTGGTTTCTGATCCCGTGGTCTTAGTAACTCAAAGTCAAAGCGGCCAAAAATGACGGTAGATATCCAGGGGTGCAATGCAGCTCGTAGAATAGGGGCCCATCAAGCGTTTATGAGACACTGCACCGATTGCTGCGTCGTGATTAGGAGGACGATCAGCTGATCGATTGATTGATTAGGAGGGCGTTGGTTGATTAAGAAACTGGTTGACTATATTATGATTAGAGCATTAGTTCAATCGATATTTTAAAATGAAGGAGCCAGCGCAACAAGAGACGTCTCACGAAAACTTGCAGCAAAACGAAATTGGAAAGTGGTCAGATAGACCATTTACACTAATCTCTACAGTTGTGCCTTTGAGAAAAAGAGTGGTTTATTATCCTTTTTGGGGCTGATGACTTATGGTGGGATGAAGCTCAGGCACTGCTCTGAGTCAAAACAAAAGTAGTCTGCACTTGGGATAAACATTTTATTACCTTGATCACTCCATTAAATTATTGACGACGCACGTTCCTGTCCTTCGAAAACGCTTGCAGGAAGACGCGCTGTTTTGCGGCACTTTATAAAAGTAACATAACTTTTTTATTAACACAGATTTTTCCATTTTGCTTTTTCAGTCTGAAACTTTAAACAGCAAAACTAAATTGGAAAGTGGCCAGATAGACCATTTACACAAATCTTTACAGTTGTGCCTTTGAGAATAAGAGCGGTCTATTATCCGTTTTGGGACTGATAACTTATTATGATGGGATGAAGCTCAGGCACTGCTCTGAGTCAAACAAAAGTTAAATTTGTAAGGTATGTCCTCGAAAGCTATGTCATAAATGATTGTGAACGGTTGTTGTGATGGATTATCTCTTCGTTGAAACTCAAATTAAATTCGATACCATAATTTGGCTGACAACAGACGATCCCAACTTTTCTCAACCTCTCAATCATTGTGAAGTTAACTCGTCTAGGTGTCCTACATTAACAGCCAGTGTTCTGTCGAGTGTTTGAATTTCAGATCTTGACGGGTTGGGTAATTGAATATCTCACTTTAATCTACCTGGCGATACTTAAGACATCACTTAATTCATGCTGAACGAGCTGCAGAATCTAGTGGGATTTTACTATAGAGTAAAGTGTAGAGTTACCATTGCGAGGAGAGTAGAAGAGAGAGAGAGAGAGAGAGAGAGA